CTCGCCCGCTCGCCCCGACCCCGACCCCCGCCATGATGCGAGCTGCAGCCCAGCTGCAGGAGCCGCTACGGCTGCGCCGGGCGCCCTGCCTGGGGCTCCCAACCCCCGCTCCCGCTCGCGCCCTCCCTCCCAGCGGCGTCTCTCGCGATAGCCGGGGACCCGGCCCCCAGCCCAGCCCTCCCCGCCGCTCGGCCTGGCCGTTCCACTCCGCTCTGCGCACACGCGGCCGCTCCCCACTGGGGGCTGCCCCAGCCGGGAGGGGTCCCTGTGCAGGGCGCTCCCGCCCGCTCCGGGGAGGCGCCGCCAGGCGTGGGGAATGTAAAATCCCGTTTGTGTTTGGGCCTCGCACGTCCCCCGGGGCCGGAGCCAAGGGTGCAAGCGCCCTTGCAGCAAGCCGCGCCGGGCAGGTGAAAGCCCCGCCGGGGGGCTCCTGCTTCGGCTGGGTTTGCACCGCGAGGTCGGTGTGGGCAGGGCGGTGCGGCCCGGCCCAGAGGAAACCCGAGTGAGTCTCGAGGGCCGGGGCCCCCGGGGGGAGGCGAAAAGGGAAACCCGGGGGCTGTCCAGGGCAGGCGCGAGACGAAGGGAGCCGCTCCCGGCGGTGGGGCCGATGCGCCCCTGGCTCCGGTCCCTTCGACCTGACCCGCGCAACAGGGGCGGGAGGCGCGGGGGAACCGCCAGCGCCGGGCTCCGCTGCCGGCGGCGAGGGGACGAGATACGCGGTTGCTCTGCGGGGCGGGGAGCGCTTAGGCTGCAGCACCGAGGTAGGGCCGGGGGAGGCGAAGGGCTGAGGCCCCCGGCCGCATGCCCACCCGGGGGCGGGGGAGAACCAGTGCCGAGCTCTGGGGGTGGCTGACAATACATCTCATCTCTGTCCGCGGCTGAGGCACCGACTCAGGCGGCAGAAAGGGCTCTGCTCAGGGAGGCAGTGCCCACGACTGAGGGGAGCTCCTTGTTTATTTGAAAATACGTGGGGGGGGAGATGATGATGGTGATCAGGCCCCGCTTGGCACGTGCCAGGGAAGCGGGAGCCTTGCTTTCTATGCCTGCCTCAGCCTGAGGAAGCTGAAACCCAGATGTCACAGGTGGAGAAGGGGGCCCCAGCCACTAGGCTACCATCTTGCGGAGGCTGGGAACACTCTCCACACCTCCTGCTGAGGGCGCGTTACTGTGCGGAAAGGAATGGTGGGTTCCTTACTGTGCAGAAAGGAATACAAGAAGGAACCCGGCATTGCAACTTAAAGGTTGGGGTCCACAGCTGCGAGATCAGTTCCAGCCCCTGCTCCTAGTACACTGAGATTAAGCAGTCACTGGATGAAAAGTAAGCAACATCCCTCACCCGCAGTACTTCTGGGAGCAGGGAGCAGAACCCCTGGCCAGCTAGGTTACAGGCTGGCATTCCTCTTGTGTTCTGTCTTAGATAGATTTTAGATACGACCTTTAATCTCCTTCTGCCTTAACTCCCCATCTCTAAAACAGGGATTATAGCTTTTCCCTACTTCACAGAGAAAAAAACATTACAGAATGTGGGGTATTGGGATACTTATACACTCCCCATTACAACTGTATCTAAAATGAAAAGATCAGAAGAGATTTTATTAGAGTGAGCGATTAACAGCAAATCCTCACAGTACGTAAGAACTTTGGTCCAAGGATCATGAAGTGATGGATCTGGAATTCATTCCCTTTTTCTATCTGGTGAACATAATTTTTTTCAAAGCATAAAATCCACTGCAGGATCTTTCCCAAAAGACACCATACATGTCCAGCTCCCCTTGAAGTGAATTAGTAGTGAGGGTGCTTAGCATCTTACCAAAGTGGGCTTTCTTGTGTCAACTACAAAAGCTGCTGATAGAAGGGGCGTTTGAAAAGGAGGTGTGGCATAAGTATACTTTTTGAAGATAGTTTTAAACTTTATATTTTATAATAAAAGAACATAATCAGATACAGGTTCACAATGTTAAACTGTTTTTTTTAGTTGAAAAGACAAACATGAAGAAGTTAAAGCTTAAAGAACTGGAAAGCTGTCTTCAACAAGTTGATGTTTTTGAGAATCCAAAGCTACTACTTGAACAGTATCCAACAAGGCCACATATTGCAGGTAGAGATAATATATAATGCTGGCATTAATTCACACTCTGTTCCACTCATTTATAGCTCTTTTTTAAAAAAGTGTTTCTTGTTTCTAGATTTTTTTTGGTGCAATAATACTCATAGAAGCTTTTGTATTGTTGCCAGGAACTGTTCAGAGATTGTGCATGGCAAAGGGTATGGTCTGGTGGTCATTTACTAGATTTTGTTGAAAATACCTATTTTGTTATACAGTTCTTTAAGATTTAAAGTTTAACACAGTGTATTTCACCTATCTGCATATAAATAGGTATAATTCATTTACGTGGACAGCACACTGACTATTTTGCTGTCTGTATTATTACAAACCCTGGTTACAAGTTGTGAAATGCTGAAGGGCATAGAGGCTTTTTGGCCCCACTGTCTACTTTGTAATGCTCTGCATAATTAGCATAAAGGAGTAGGAGCCCTTAATCGTAACATTTCTAAAGAAGTCTTGAACTAAGTCATATTATAGAGCAGTAGCTTGCAACCTTTTTAGGTTTGAAGCACCCTTCAAAAATGCTTAGTTTTCACGGACAAGGTTCTTTGGGCGAATCTGATATCTTTTATTAGACCAACTTAAATAATTTGAAAACAATTATTAAGCAAGCTTGTTTTCCAACTATTTAAGTTGGTCTAATAAAAGATATCAGATTCATGCAAAGAACCTTGTCTGCCTATGTCCTTAGACCAATATGGCTACAACTTACACCCTTAGTTTTTGCATGTTTTTTCATTGGGGAAAAATAGTAGAGCAGTTTTTCTGCTGCAGAAAACACAAAGCCCACAACAGGGGAAATGTTTTTAGCACAATTAATTCTTATGCAAATCTCTGTTTTTATCTTGTGAATCACATTTGCACACCTAACAGCACTAACACTGTATGGTGATGCCCTGCAACACCCTTGAAAGGCTCTTGAGGCATCTTAGGGTAACACATGACCCTGGTTGAGAATCACTGTATTAGAGGTATAAAACTCCAAGTAACAAGGAAAATAACATTACTGAGGTGGAAAAGCTTAGATCAGTGTGGGCGTATAATTAGTGAATAGTGGTTACATTAAGTCTAATTAATGCATAGTCCTTTTTCAGTCCTAAAGGGAGTGTTAAGTTATTGTTTGTATGTAGTAGAAATGTTTGTATACATCAAGAAAAAGTGTAGAAATACAGCTCTGTCTTAGTCCTTCAGTAAAAGCATTTTATATAATTAGTCAGATAGTATTAATACTGATAGTTCAATCACAATTCCCCGTATACTCCTCCTGCGATCTAAAACTACCCATTAGAGCAATGATCTGAAGTCCTTATCTTTATATTTTTACTTCCATACACAAAAAAAGGATAGTAGCAGTGTGATCGCTAGGTGTCATGTTCCTGTGCGAACAAATATTACATTCACTAAAAGCAGCAACATGGCATTCAAAGTTTTTTTTGAAAGGCAGAAGGAATTGTTTATGTATTGACTCAGATAAATAGGTTCCATTGCTGTCATCCTCTAATCTGTTGTTTTCCAGCATGTATGCTCTACACAATTCACAACACTTTTGACGATATTGAAAACAAAGTGGTTGCCGATCTAGGGTGTGGTTGTGGCGTGCTCAGCATCGGAAGTGCAACGTTAGGAGCAGGGTAGGTGATTCACGCTCAAAATTATGTTTGCTTCTTTCCAAGTATAGAATCAAATGAAAGATAAGATTAGAACATGACAATACTGGACTGCACTTAACTAAAAATAGATGCATCACCAGACATTTTCCTACAGCTAGCCAGCCTGCAAGCATGCAAATAATGACAAGTGATAAGACCAGTTGCACTGTATTTGAAACATACTTGTTTAATGGAAACTTGTACATATTTTTGTAAGCATTCTCTCATAAGATAAACAACACAAGCTTAAAATTTGTTATTAACAAACTTCAAGAAATTCTTAGGAAAATAAAAAGCTTTGCTGATCATATTCTTCTTCTATTAGTAATCTACTTTTAGAACATACCTTTGCTTCACCACCTCACACTAAAACTAACGCAACAAATTCTGTCCCAACAGCTGTCCTTCAAAACTCTACTTTAAGCCAAAATAAAACGAACACACACAAAAGTCCCACACCATACAACAGTGTACATTGGAAAAACAAATTAATGTCCCCCTGCCCCACCTGTCCCAAGGCAAAGACAGAAAAATGTTGTAGCTGTTTGTTCCTGACTAATGTTTTCCATTTTATAGGTTGTGTGTGGGGTTTGATGTGGACACAAATGCCCTGGAAATATTTAATAGAAATGCTGAAGAATTTGAGCTCACAAATATCGATGTGATTCAATGCAATGTGTGTTCTTTACCTGACAGAATGTCAAAAACATTTGACACAGTGATTATGAATCCTCCCTTTGGAACCAAGCACAATAAAGGTTAGTGATCAGAAAATAAACAATATTTGCAGTCATTTCTGAAGATAAATATACTATAATTGAATAAACATTTTCATCTACTGAGTACCCTGAAATGGCAACATTTCTATTTTCAGAAAATACCTTTAAAGATTTGCTTTGTTTTCTGATGTGGTTGTAACACCAAACTAAAAGTTCCTTGTTCAAGTTAGATCTCTTCAAATGTCCAGCATTTGTTTTAACACAGTTGACTTTGAATAGTTAGTTGTACTATTAAATCTTATTTGCACCTGTCCTAACTACCACCCTTCCTTCTTCAATACCTTACTCTTCAACATTGCATTTAAAGACTTTTTATCTAATTCCATGTTTCAGTGCCCTTGCTTTTTGTTTTTCTTCTCTCTTAAGAAAAGTACAGTTCTAAACTTAAGTGACAGAAAGCATAGCTACTGATTTCCAATGTGAGTATTTGAAAAGCAAAGTTAAACTGAGGCTTATTAAAAGAATCATAACTAATTTGGGTCCTTTTTTGCAGGGATGGATATGGTTTTTTTGAAAGTAGCTTTGCAAATGGCAAGAACAGCTGTATATTCCTTACACAAAACTTCAACACGGCAAGTAAGTTCCCAGTTTCAGCAAGTTAAGCAGAAACTAGACACAAGTGGTATTTAAATCTACATTTAGTTTTACAGAAACTGTGCAAACTTAAAAGACTTCTATGCCTATGATGGATACCACTGCATATTTTGAATGGGTAGATTTGTTGCATCTTAAAAAAAAAAAAAAAAAAAAAAAAAAAAAAAAAAGGGAAAAAACCCCCCCCCCC